GGAAAAAAAAAAAAAAAAAAATTAAAAAAAAAATAAAAAAAAAAAAAAAAAAAAGAACCCAGCAACCCCCTGGAAAGGACCCAACACCAGATGGGAAACCATGATTGCACACTAAGGAAGGAAGCCTTGTGTGTTATCAGCAAATTCTGTGCCCCCAAGGGCCCGAGAGAGACAGGCAATCCGGTGTCCTCACCTGCCTGCCGTCCACTCCCTCTGCCTCACCCCTCCCTGGCCCCAGCATCCTGGCTGCCAACCTGCCCTAGACTTGTTTTGAATCTTAAAAGGATCAAAGCGATGCCAAATAATTTCTCTGTATCCTAGACGAATCCCAGAAATACTGGGAGAATACCAAGAAGGGGCCAGCAGGTGGCGTGGTGGTTGAGGCACTGGATTCCCACCTGGCCGATCGTAGTTCAAATCCTGGACCTGGTGGTTTGCTTTCTCACTTTCCCATCCCCCTCTCTTTCTCTCTCTCTGGCGAGCACATGTGCCCCATAGCAAATTAATTATAATAAAAAATAAATAATAAGTAAATGAGTCATTTTTAAAAAGAACTGGGGCTGGCATGCGGCATGTTAGTTAAGGTGCTGGACTCCCACATGGCCAACTGTAGTTCGAGTCCCAGACTCAGCACCTTGAAACTCATGCCATCTAAAATTCCAGGAGGAGAATGGAGAAGGGATTGTGGTGTGGCCATTCCCCCTGGGGGGTGATTTCTTACTTTCCCCCTCACTGTCTGTTTTTCTCCAGTGAGTGCATGTGCTCTATGACCAAAACCTAAAAATACAAAAACCCGGGGACCAGCAGATTGTGTAGTGAGTTATGTCACGGTACATGGCTAACCGCGGTTCGAATCCCAGACCCAGACGCTTCAAAGTCACATTGGGCACGTGAGCATACGTGGACAAGATCCCGAGAGGAGCATGGAGAAGGGACTGCGGTGTGGCCAGCCCTGCTGGGGGATGATTTCTCGCTTTCTGTCTCTGGCGAGCACACGTGCCCTTTAGGAAAAACCTCTCTAAAACAACATTGATGAATAGGGTGGGGCATGACCCCAGCACAAGCTCTCATGGGGGGATTTCCACAAGGGGAAGCCCACGTCATTCTTCGATCTGCAGGAATGGGGACAATGAGGCCAGGGAGCGGTGGGAACCGAGTGTCAGTGTGATAATGAACCAAGCAGAGAAGATGCAATGGATCATGGGAGATGTCCCTGGAGACCAGAAAACTGGACCCTGAGTGTGACCGAGACTGCTGGGACGGAATGCCAAAGCCAGAGTTCTCAGGGCAGAGGGACCTAGGGATGGTCCTGTGGCCTGGTAGTTAAGGGAGCCAGATCCCACACAGACAAAAGCAGTTCGAATCCCAGCCCCACTGGCTTTGAAAACACACTGTGTGTGTGTGTGTGTGTGTGTGTGCGTGCGCATGTGCGCCCCAAATCCCTACAAAATGGAAAAAAGGAGAAGGGACTGCAGTATGACCATGCCCCACGGGGAGGGGCAAGTGCTCTCTCTCTCTCTCTCTCTCTGTATCTTTGTTTAGCAAACATGGATGCCCTCTGACAATTTATAAAATAAATAAATAAATAAATAAATAAGACCCTTGGGACTGGCAGGTGGCATGGTGACATGAAGGCACTGGACTCCCACATGGCCAACTGTGGTTCGAGTTCTGGACCTGGTGGCTTGCCTTCTCACTTTCCCTCTTTCTCACTCTCTCTGGTCAAATTGAAAAATAAATAAATAAATAAATAAAATGGAAAAAAAAATTTTTTTTTTTGGAGAGGTTATTGCTATAGGGCGTGTGCGCTCTCCAGAAAGACAGAGAGAGACAGAGAGACAGAAAGTGAGAAATCACCCCTTGGGGGGATGGCCACACCGCAATCCCTTCTCCTCCATTCTCCTCTCGGGATCTTGGGCACGCACGCACACGCGCCCGGTGTGAGTTTAAGCCACCGGGTCCGAGCCTTGAACTGCGGTTGACTACGTGGGAGTCCAGTGACATAGCCATTACGCTAACTGCTGGTCTCAAATGAAATAAATATTTTTGAAAAAGCCTCAGAGGGCTGACATGTTAGGAAGAACACACATACACATGAAGTGGACACCCGGGCCCGTGCATACACTACATGTCTTGTGGAGCCAGTGGAAAGTGAGTTCAGACGTCACGACCCCTCGTCCTGTGCCCTCAGCTTCAATCTCCTGCGGATATTTTCTTACATAACAAAGCACAATCACCACACCCGAGAAACTTAATACTAACACGTTATCTAAGACACACTCCACGGTTGAGTTTCCTGGACAGTCTCAAAGGGTCTGCTATTCATTTTTTTTAAATAAATATTTTATTTAACATTTATTTATTTATTTACTTATTCTATTTTGACCAGAAAGGAACAGAGTGAGAAAGACAGAGAAAGTGAGAAAGCAAGCCGCCAGGTCCGGGACTTGAACCACGGTCGGCCATGTGGGAGTCCAGCAACCTCAACCACCATGCCACCTGCCGGCCCATCTGCTATTCAATTTTTAGGTCTAGATCTCAAGGACCATGCGCTGCATTGGACCCTCATGTCTCTGGAGCGTTTCGCCGAACTACAGGGTGTTCTAATATGGTACAGAAGTGAGGCACAGGCCCCTAGTTCAAGGGAACTTCAGCGAGTGTATGGAAAGGGGGCTCTGGATGGTACCTCAGCAGTAGGAAGGAACCCCGTGAGGCTCACCCAAGTGGGAAGGGTCTGGGTTTGCATCTGGTCAACTCCCTGAGTATACCAGGCATGCAGGTGCCCATGTCTGGGGGTTGGCAGAAGCTGGGGGTGGACTGTAGATCCAGACCCTGTCTTTCTCATTTACGAAAGAAAGAAATAAACGTTTTTTATTGAACATTAATTGACTCACTCATTCATTCATTTTAATTTGACCAGAGATGGATAGAGTGAGAGAGAGAGGTGTCGGGGGGAGTGAGAAAGCAAGCTGTCAGGTCTGGGACTTGAACTGTAGGCACCCATGAGAGAGTCTAGCACGCTTAACCACCACGCCACCTGCTGGCCCTGAAATAAATAAACTTTCAAAATAAAAATAAAAAGGGACCCAGCAGGCGGTTTGAGTTCCAGACCTGGTGGCTTGAAAATCATGCCAGGCATGTATGTGTGTGTGCCCGAAATCCCAGGAGGAGAATGGAGGAGAAAGGATTGTGGCATGGCCATCCCCCCAGGGGGGATTTCTCTCCCTCTCACTGTCTCTCTCTGTCTCGTGAGTACATTCATCCTGTGGCAAAAACAAAGCAAAAATTTAAAAAGCCACCTAGATTAAATAAATAGAAGTTCATAGAAAAACAAAATTAAAGTATAAGCTTCTCTTGGTGCAAACATTTTTTGAAACCCGGGTAGAGTTTCTTTGTACATTTTCTTTCTTTTTTGGGGAAAGAGGTTTTTTGCTATAGGGCGCGTGCGCTCGCCAGCCAGACAGAGAGAGACAGAGAGACAGAAAGCAAGAAATCACCCCCCAGG